AACAATGCTCTTTTGAGCTTACAATCTAGGAGGGAGGGGAAGGTGGTACAGGAGGAAATGGCTGTGGGGGATGGAGGAGTGGAGGAGGTTAGTTGTTAGGTGAGGTCAGGTGTTAGGTGAGGTTGGGTAGGCTTCCCTGAAGAGGAGGGTTTTCAGGGTGCGCCTAAAGGTGAGGAGGGTAGGTGACAGTCTGATGGATTGGGGTAGGGAGTTCCAGAGGATGGGGGAAGTCCTAGAGAAGTCCTGCAATCGGGCGTGGGAGGAGGAGACCAGGGAGCTAGAGAGTAGGAGGTCCTGTGAGGAGCGGAGGGCACGGGTAGGGTAGTATTTGGGTATCAGGTCAGTTATGTAGTTTGGGGGTGGTGTTGTGAATGGCTTTGTAGGTCAGAGTTAGCAGTTTGAATTTGATGCGTTGGGCAATCGGGAGCCAATGAAGGGATTGGCAGAGGGGGGAGGCAGATGTGGAGCGGTTGGTGAGGTGGATGAGTCTAGCCGCTGAGTTTAGGGTCGACTGGGGTGAGGATAGCATTCGTTTGAGTGGGCTGGTGAGAAGGGAATTGCAATAGTCCAGGCGTGAGATGATGAGGGAGTGTACGAGTTGTTTGGTGGTGTCTGGGGTGAGGAATGTTTGTATCTTGGAGATGTTGCGGAGGTGGAGCCTGCAAGATCTAGATAGCAGTTGGATGTGGGGTAGGAAGGAGAGGTGGGGAGTCCAGGGTGACACCCAGGATTTTGGCATGTAGGGTGGGAGAGATGGTGGCGTTGTTAGTAGTGATGGAGAGGATGGGGGGAGGCGCGGGGTGGGGGCAAGACCAGGAGCTCGGTTTTGGATAGGTTAAGTTTGAGGAAATGGAGCGACATACCAGATCTGAACAACCTGTACAGAGACAGTCAGCAAAGAAATTACAGCATGATAAACAGAGGAGGAAATTATGTTTCTCTCTGTAGTAATTTTAATTTGTGTTTACTTTCCATCAGAAAACCCAACTTCTAAAGCAGTTACCCAGTGTTCAGCCTTCACAGTCAGCCTTGTTAAAGAAGTGCAAAATTGAGATTTAAATCTCTAGTGTGCAATATCAATCTTCTTTTTTTTTTAAATAAAGATTTAAAAAAAATACATTCAAATTTCTATAAAAGTGCCTTTGTTTCTACCGTACAACTCCAAACCGACCTTCATCAGATGTGTTAGCACAAATCACTTCCATCTTGTTATAATAAACTGCATGCTCAAGACAGTGAAATAAATATAATCACTTCTTTTTCACAAGAATACTGAATATCTGTAAACAATTCTTAAACACTTGTATATAAATATCCTCTAAGGCAGCGGTTCTCAACCTGGGGGTCGCGACCCCTTTGGGGGTCGAACGACCATTTCCCAGGGGTCGCCTAAGACCATCGGAAAACACATATTTTCTGATGGTCTTAGGAACCGAGACACCGCTCCTCTCTCCGGCGATGTGTGTGGGCGGGATGATACGCTGCTCCTGTCACCTGGCCACACCTCCGGGATCGCTCAGCAGCTCCGCCTCCTCGCCGCTGATTGGCCACCGGAACTGTAGCTCAGGAGAGGCACACAGGCGGCCAATCACCGGCGAGGAGGTGGTGAGCTTGGAGAGGAGGAGCCGAGCGGCAGCGCGGTGTTGTACGTGTACATCAAAGAAGATCGAGGGAGCTGCCGGAGCGAGTGAAGAGGAGAGCGGCCCAGAGAAGGAAGACAGCTGACAGGTAAGTGAGGAGAGCGAGCCCAGGCTGTCACTAATACCAACGATGGGGCACTATTCCTCCCCCCACTGACACCAACGATGGGGCACTATTCCTCCCCACTGACACCAACGATGGGGCACTATTCCTCCCACTGACACCAATGATGGGGCACTATTCCTCCCCCACTGACACCAACGATGGGGCACTATTCCTCCCACTGACACCAATGATGGGGCACTATTCCTCCCCCCACTGACACCAACGATGGGGCACTATTCCTCCCACTGACACCAATGATGGGGCACTATTCCTCCCCCCACTGACACCAACGATGGGGCACTATTCCTCCCACTGACACCAATGATGGGGTACTATTCCTCCCCCCACTGACACCAACGATGGGGCACTATTCCTCCCACTGACACCAATGATGGGGCACTATTCCTCCCACTGACACCAATGATGGGGGCACTATTCCTCCCACTGACACCAATGATGGGGCGCTATTCCTCCCACTGACACCAATGATGGGGCGCTATTCCTCCCACTGACACCAATGATGGGGGCACTATTCCTCCCACTGACACCAATGATGGGGCATTATTCCTCCCACTGACACCAATGATGGGGCACTATTCCTCCCACTGACACCAATGTATGGGGCGCTATTCCTCCCCCCACTGACACCAACGATGGGACACTATTTCCCCCCCCACTGACACCAACGATGGGACACTATTTCCCCCCCCCTGACCCCAATGATGGGGCACTATTCTCCCCTCCACCACACTGACATCAATGATGGGGCACTATTCCTCCCACTGACACCAATGATGGGGCACTATTCCTCCCCCCACTGACACCAACGATGGGACACTATTTCCCCCCCCCCCCCCTGACCCCCCCACTGACCCCAATGATGGGGCACTATTCTCCCCTCCACCACACTGACATCAATGATGGGGCACTATTCCTCCCACTGACACCAATGATGGGGCACTATTCCTCCCACTGACACCAATGATGGGGCACTATTTCCTCCCCCACTGACACCAACGATGGGACACTATTCCCCCCCCCCCCCCCGACCCCAATGATGGGGCACTATTCTCCCCTCCACCACACTGACATCAATGATGGGGCACTATTCCTCCCACTGACACCAATGATGGGGCACTATTCCTCCCACTGACACCAATGATGGGGCACTATTCCTCCCACTGACACCAGTGATGGGGCACTACTCCCACTGACACCAGTGATGGGGCACTACTCCCCCCACTGACACCAGTGATGGGGCACTACTCCCCCCACTGACACCAGTGATGGAGCACTATTCCTCCCACTGACACCATGATGATGGGGCACTACTCCTCCCACTGACACCAATGATGGGGCACTATTCCTCCCACTGACACCAATGATGTGGCACTATTCCTCCCACTGACACCAGTGATGGGGCACTACTCCCCCCACTGACACCAATGATGGGGCACTACTCCTCCCACCGACACCAATGATGGGGCACTACTCCTCCCACCGACACCAGTGATGGGGCACTACTCCCCCCACCGACACCAGTGATGGGGCACTACTCCCCCCACCGACACCAATGATGGGGCACTACTCCCCCCACTGACACCAATGATGGGGCACTACTCCCCCCACTGACACCAATGATGGGGCACTACTCCCCCCACTGACACACCAATGATGGGGCACTATACTCCCCCACTGACACCAATGATGGGGCACTATTCCCCCCACTGACACCAATGATGGGGCACTATTCCTCCCACTGACACCAATGATGGGGCACTATTCCTCCCACTGACACCAATGATGGGGCACTATTCCTCCCACTGATACCAACGATGGGGCACTATTCCTCCCACTGACACCAACGATGGGGCACTATTCCTCCCACTGACACCAACGATGGGGCACTATTCCTCCCACTGACACCAACGATGGGGCACTATTCCTCCCACTGACACCAACGATGGGGCACTATTCCTCCCCACTGACACCAACGATGGGGCACTATTCCTCCCACTGACACCAACGATGGGGCACTATTCCTCCCCCACTGACACCAACGATGGGGCACTATTCCTCCCACTGACACCAGTGATGGGGCACTATTCCTCCCACTGACACCAGTGATGGGGCACTATTCCTCCCACTGACACCAGTGATGGGGCACTATTCCTCCCACTGACACCAGTGATGGGGCACTATTCCTCCCACTGACTCCAGTGATGGGGCACTATTCCTCCCACTGATACCAACGATGGGGCACTATTCATCCCACTGACATCAGTGATGGGGCACTACTCCTTCCACTGACACCAATGATGTGGCACTACTCCTCCCACTGCAAAATTACAGTTCTGAAGTAGCAACGAAAATAATTTTATGGTTGGGGGTCACCACAACATGAGGAACTGTATTAAGGGGTCGCGGCATTAGAAAGGTTGAGAACCACTGCTCTAAGGGGTTCCCCAAAAGCAGAACCTTTTTACTATCAATAATTCCCAAAAGTGACCTCAGGTGCCAAAACAAGAAATTTAAAAATAAATGCCATAGTAATAGCAGGAAGGGAAGCACAAGTATGATAGACGGGTACTTGGCCTCATGTTCTTTTTAGAGAACGGTATCAAGAGTTGGGTGTTTTTTTATGAAATTTATGTTGTTGATTTCCCTTACAATAAAGTTGTGGAAGTATTGTACTGATTTAGTGGGGCTTCCTAAGCTACAGAAAGGTTTCGTAGATGGATTTGGTTTGTATACCTTGGATGACAAACTTGTATTTTTTGCAGGGCATGACCTCTTTTTTTTTTTTTTTTTTTTCTCTGATCATGATTTTTTCCTCTGTTCTATGTCTTTCCTACCATGCCTCAGATAAGATATATGCAGGTAAGACATTTTTCTGACTGTAACCACAAGAGCGCTGTACAGTTCCTTCTGTTCCTCGCTAATAATGCCTGACTGCTAGTGAGGTGACAGTGCCTCTATAATGGGTTGGTGTACTGGAGGGGTGGGATGATATGCTAGGGGTCCTATACTTGGGATATTAAGAGAGCTACAGAAAAAGAAAGGGCATCTGGGTTCCTCCAGAGCACTGAAGAAAATGCTGGCGCCTGTAGTTCATCAGCAGCTGTCCCATAAGATCTGAACAACCTGTACAGAGACAGTCAGCAAAGAAATTACAGCATGATAAACAGAGGAGGAAATTATGTTTCTCTTTATAGTAATTTTAATTTGTGTTTACTTTCCATCAGAAAACAGGGATGACCGAAGATGATAAGAGGAATTGCTGCTTGTTGGAAATACGGGACACAGAAGACAAATATTACAAGACATTGGAAGACATCAGAATGGTGGGACATGTTATTAGTGTGGGAAGCGGATGCTCTATCCAGTTTGTCTGTCATGTATTCACTAGGACACTAGGATAGTATATTATATACTGTGGTTATTTATTTAACTAGTAGCCGACCGCAGATAGCCGAATGACGGCTGCACTGCGGCCGGCCAGTTCTGAGTGGACGTCATATGACGTCCCCCCAGAACGCACTCTCCTGCGCGCCCCAGGGGGCGCGCACCCCCGGCGATCTCCGTGATCGCTGTGTCCTACGGACACAGCTGATCACGTGATGTGGTAAAAGGCCAATCACAGCGGCCTTTTACCACGTGATCAGCGGTGTCCAATGACACGCTGATCAGAGGGAAATGCAAGTGCCGATTCTCGGCTGCACTTTCCTCACGCTGTCAGATCGTGAGGAAAGTACTGCCGAGAACCGGCAGTTGTCAGAGCGAGGATCGGCACCGATCATCAGGGCACTGATGATCAGTGCCCTGATGATCGGTGCCCAGCAGTGCCACCCGCAAGTTCCGCCCACCTGTGCCCAGCAGTGCGCCCACTAACTCCGCCCACCTGTGCCCAGCAGATCACCCACCTGTGCCCAGCAGTGCACCCACCTGTGCCCAGCAGTGCATCCACCTGTGCCACTCTGCAGTGTCACATACCTGTGCCCAGAAGTGCCACCTACCTGTGCCCAGCAGTGCCACCCACCTGTGCCCACCCGTGCCACCCACCTGTGCCCACCCACCAGTGCTGTCCACTAGTGCCACCCACCAGTGCAGCCCAGCAGTGCTGCCAGTCAGTGCCACCAGTCAGTGCCCAGCGGTTGTGCCAGTCAGTGCCGCCAGTCAGTGCCCAGCAGTGATGCCAGTCAGTGCCGTCTATCAGTACCCATCATCAGTGTCACCTATCAGTGCCGCCTAACAGTGCTGCATATTAGTGCCGCCTATCCGTGACACCTCATTAGTGCTGTCTATCAGTGCCGCCTATCCGTGCCACCTCATTAGTACTGCCTATCAGTGCCGCCTATCAGTGCCCATCAGTGCTGCCTCATCAACGCACATCAGTGAAGGAGAAAAATTACCTGTTTGAAAAATTTTATAATAGAAACAAAGAAACTTTTTTTTTTTTTTTTTTTTTTCAAATTTTTTGCACCTTTTTTATTTATAGCGCAAAAAGTAAAGCGCCCAGTGGCGATTAAATACCACCAAAAGAAAGCTCTATTTGTGAGAAAAAAAATTATCAAAATTTCATATGGGTACAATGTTGCATGACCGCGCAATTGTCAATCAAAGTGCGGCAGCGCTGAAAGCTGAAAATTGGCCTGGTAAATAAGGAGGTATAAGTGCCTGGTAGGCAAGTGGTTAAATAACAATCTGGTTTGTTATAATTTCTTCCCAGAATTACATGGTACCCCTGAAGCAGTTACTTACGCCTGCCGAGACTGCTGTCGTTTTCATTAATTTGGAGGTAAGAAGCTAAAGACTTTGCTGACATATTGAGGTTTTGCCAATGTTAAGCCTATTGTGGAGATGCAGTATTTTCTCAAAATGCTCTGTTAGTTTGCGAGGGAGGGGCATTGCGCTGGGCAACCAGGCACCATGTAGCACATGGCATCTCTCATTCCTGGTGAACTGACAGGGTATGTATTGCTTTATTTTATCTCTATCTCTGATTAATTGACCCAGCAGTCCTAGATGTTGGCATTGGAGCATCCATATGTAGACATACCCAGCAGGCAGCTAGAGTCATTTTTACTGGCATTTTTCTTTCAGCTCCCTTACACGTTGCTGTGCAGTCTGCACTATTAATTGAATTATTTCAAAAGTTGATCAAGTTGAAAATATTTTCCAACAGAATGGTGATATTTGAATTTATGCTCACTTGCAAATATACCATGAACATCCCCACAATTGCTATTACTGCCCCAAATGGTCTCATTGATTAAAAGAACAAAAAAAAAACACTGATAGAGTTGGTCTTCCATAAAGTGCCCATATTAATTTAGGATGCTGAGGTGTTTCAGAATTTTTCTTCTATTTGGCTCATATCTAGGCTGCCACTGCGTTTCATGGCAAAACTACATATATGGAAAAGCCCAGATCGAAGATTCAGTGTATGAGGGTCTTCTCAATAATAACTATTGCTGCTGCCTGAATGGCATGGCTAGTTGATACCTGTACTATACAGCTGTATCTGTCAGATTCAGCCATTACTATGAAAGGTAAAATCTTTCAGATTGGGTTTTCCCATCAATGTAGGGGGAAGTCTCAGGTGACCCAGCCTGCCAGGGAATTGGTAGCTTTTCTTTCAGAGATCATTAAATTGCAAACTCTGCCTAAGGCTACATTTCAAAATCTGATTCTGCATTGTGTCAGTATATGGGAAACATTTCTCAGAGATGATGTATATTGGCTGTATTAGCTCTAAATAATTGTTCTAGATTTGGTGTGTGTGCCTGTACTCTGAATGGCACTGCACCCTCATTTGTCTCATGGAGCTTGGCTTTCTGCCATGGTATCCCTTCTGATTCATCTCCTTTTATGATCACCTCTAGGAGCTCATAAAAGTCCACTTCAATTTTCTGAGGACCATTGAGATGTCCATCATGTCCGGTGGCAGCACCATTGGACAGGTCTTCCTAGACTACAAGGAGAAGTAAGCATGCAGAATGCTGTTTTTACTTAATTTTTATATGTATGCATCCCAGTGCATAATGTGTCAGAACCCAAACTGCATTTAGTACACATGACCCAGACCAAGTAATGTGTGATGACTATATAATAAGTGCAGCTTTACTAACCTGAACTTAAAATAAAGACATGACATTGCTGATTGTTTACTGTATTACAGCTGATCCCCCTGCTGTATACATCACATTTGATCCAGCTATGTATGTATTACAGGAGATAAAGGTGCAGTTATGGGCCTCATTGATTTGCTGCAGCTCCTTCATTGTATATTCACAGGCTGGGTTTGGTGACAAACCTGTATTACTTTACTATATTAGAAAAGCTGGTATTATTCACCTGGCTTTGCTATTTGGCAGGGTTGCTGGTATCACAAGACTGGCCAAGTATAATCACAAATCTTTTGGCAGGTAAACAATTGATGGCTTATTTTACAAATATATCAATCTCATGTTGAGATGTATGGTCGTTCTGTTTCTATTTGCTCAGAGTACATGCTTTGAGTTGTATATATTTTCAGCTAATTTGATTTAATTATTGCATTAGCTTATGAATGCATCCAACTCCAATGTTGGTGAATGTACCAATCTCATAAATTTTAAGTGGACACTAGGAAGAGCAGACACATGGAGCGTCAATGAATGAGCAATTCATCCAGTCCAGTAGCTGCCAGGGATGGTTGGTCCCACTTGCAGCAATGGTGAAGTCTAATATGTGTCATCTAGCTATCAGTTTCTATACATCTGGCTGTCTACAGGCAGAACAAAAGCAAAAACATTTGGTGCAGAAGTGGAGACCACACAGGGTGTGTTATCTTATCAGACACACGTAGTAATCCTGTATTGCTAAGGCAGGCTACAGACGGGCCGTTTATCGGCCGAATTTTCGGCCGATAAACAAAAAATCGGTCGGCCCCGATGCCAATGTTGCCACCAATGTCCACGAAAAATGACCGTTTTTCATGGATTTTCCAGCATGACCGATAAAACTAAACGAGAAGATCTACAAAAAACAGCCAAGGAGCTGTCCCCACTAACGGCGTGAATATCGGCTAATTTTTCGTGTGGACCCGTCTATGGCCTGCATAATTTGCAGGGTAGCCAGTATAGCTGATGCATATATACAGAATGTGATATGCAGGTCTAGACTGCACCCCAGGGAGTGAAATTTGAGTATAAAAGAAAATATAAGAGAACATTTTATCAGGGTATGATCTTGTGTGTTAAACAATGAGCGGAAGCTGAGATTGAAATCCGCTTTACTCACGACAGAATTCTCTTGCACAGCTCTCTAGAGCTGACCAGTATTTTAATGGATCCGCTTCTTATAATACTGCAATCATATTTAAAAATAATAATTTCATCATTTTCCTAATATCTTTTTACACTGGTCTTGTTTTAATACTCTAGTTTTACTGCCAAATATACTGAAATGATAATACATATGGGCAGCCATCTTGTCTTGAATACCTTATTCTTCAAAGCCAAGTTTTTCTTTTTCATTTTGGATGGAGCAGAAAAGGATTAGAATCCCTTTCAGGTCTTTATTGCTGTCTGTGTATCCACTAGGAAGATTTGAACTGCTACAGAATGTTGCTGAAAGGAAGTGAGGGGAAATTGCCCCCATGGGGACATGGACAACAGTAGAACTCTGAAGGAGTTTCTTATCTTTGCAATGCCATTGAGAACTAGAAAAATGTTTTGGCTGGTGTCTGGTTTAATATTTCCTTCTGAGTGAAGGAAGGACCAAATAAAATCAGATAAATGCAAAATCTTTATTATTCTTCCCATGGTAATCTTGAGCAGTTGAGCCTTTATGGACTAAAAATTACACTTATGCTGGTTGGATTTTTTTTACATACAAGACCTGTGATTTGTGGTGATGTGTTGTGTACAGACTCAGTGAATGATGAAAGTGAGGCTTCCCACCTGTTAGCTAGGTATCTCATCACACAGCGGAAGCAAAAGAGTGTTACATCACTTCTTCTTTCAACTGGAAACATGTCGTCACTTTCACACCTGCAAATCATGAAGTGTTTCCATTTTTTGACTAACCTTAGCCATGGAATATGTCAGAGAAATACATATGTTTAGTAACAATAGCATGTAAATGTTGTGGGATTTTATGATGAGTGCTCAAAGTAGTTCACTGATCCTTCCTGTTATCTGTATGGGCAGACATCTACACTGACAGTTTTCAGGAGCCTGAGATTGCACCCGTGATTTGCTGATCGCAGGTGCAATACTTTACAGACACCTAAGAAAAAAATAATAAATTCTAATTTTTTTTTACCTGTAAAAAAGATGTGCATTTTTTTTTTTGTTTTTTTTCAAAAGGTGAACTTATTTTTTAACACGTAAGCTTTTGTGGTGTAGAGACTAATGTGAATGGTACAATATGCAATGTAAAACTTACCCCAGTGGTTACTCCTTTGTTTCCTAATTCAGTATCAAAGTTTCCCTTATTATGTGGCTGTTGATGAGGCAGCAATGTGATGATGCTTATTTATAGTCCAGTGGATGTCAAAAGGATATGTAATAAATAAAACTGATCCAAAAATAGTGGTGCCACCCTCCAGGTTGTGCAGTGTGGTTGAAGACCCTTCTAAGCGTTCTTCTGTCTTAACAGCATAGTAACCCAGCCAAAAATGTTAATCTTTTGTTTTGAGCTGAGTAGAGAAGAATGCATTTATCTGTCAATTATCATTGCTGACTGTTTCTCCATTGAAAAGATTTTCACTCACATCCTGTCCTAGAGACACCAGGTCATGCCAACTGAAAAGTTGTCACCAGAACAAGAAAACACGTGGTAATCTTTACAATGGGAAATAGGCAGTAACAATAGCTCGGCAGAGGATCTAACCCTTCCCTGCTCCATTCAAAACCATGAGAAAAGCTTAAGCTGGATTTGGGGCAAGGCAGACAGTACTAGGGAAGTGGTGGGAGAAGTTTTCCACTTATAAACAAAAAAAATAAAAGAAAACTAAAGTGCAGATGCACTTTTTGTGTTGAAACGACAGTTGGAATTTTGCAATTTGTCCTTCAAATAATCCACAAAAAGTTGTTAGAAACCTTTTTTAAACAGGGAACCTCTAGCTACAAATAGATTTGCTGCACTTTTCAGCTTTGAGGACAAATGAGGAGAGTGAGTGGATGAATTGTCCAGAGCTGCAATAGAAGCTCTCAAAACTGAGAGCATTTATCTGGACCATCATGAGATGATGAAATACTGATGGTGTCAGTTGGGTAAAACACAACCCCACAAGGATTACAGAGAAGGCTGGGCAAGTAATAAACCTGTTACATGTATCTGCTTTTTAACTCTGCTCTTATTTTTGGTCAGGCTTCTCTTATATGGAGAGTACTGCAGCCATATTGAATATTCCCAGCAGACGTTGGACCAGCTTATGGTTATGAGGGAGGATGTAAAGATGAAAATTGAGGTAAGCGATCATAAGGAATTTGCCATTGTGTGTCCAGAAACACTTTGTGGCTAATCCGATCACATAACAAATAAACCATATGCATTTAAAGTAGAACTGAAGACAAAACATGTTATTTATGGTGGAGTAAGGGAGGGTTATAACCCTTGTCACGTTTTTTGCCATCTGTGTCTCATTTGGGAGATTTCCCTTCACTTTTTGGCCCATAGCCACAACAGGGTGTTGATTACTGATTACCAGGAGACATAATCACTCCAGAGTGAGGAAAATCGCTAGTAGCCACTAGGGTCACCTGAACTAGGGATCCCACTGAAAGATTTTTACTCTCTTCCTGCTCTGGTGACCACTCAAAATCTTGGGGATTTTCTTTCACTTTTATTGATAATGGTCACCAGAAAAATAGAGAGGGTGAATCTCCTTAATAAGAATATAGCAATAAAAACTCTGTCCATTCTATGTTAAGAAAAAAAAAAAGGGATTTTGACTTACCTGCAAATTTCTTATCTTGTGGCCTTGTATTCGTACACCATGGGACATTCCCAAGCACGAAGCTGAGGGATGCGCAACAACATAGCAAACAAATCTACTAACAGGCCCACAAAAAAAAGGTTAAAGATCCCGAAGACACTAAGCGAACAGTTTGAAGCACCGTACGGTCGAAGTTTACATCATCTGTGGACTTGAACATCTATCTGGTGGCCCTTGAAGAATGTGAACAGAAGTCCAGATGGCAGCCTGGCAATCTGGGATACAGATGCTTGATGCTGAAAAGCCCAAAGGACACCAACTGCCCTGGTGGAAGGAGCTCTTATGGGACGGGAGGAAACCCTTTCCTGAAGGGCACAGGTCCTGGGAATAAGTTGTCTGATCCACCTGAAAATGGTGGATCGGGAAACAAGATGTCCTCTACAAGGACAACTTGACTTCTGTTGCCACTTAATAGTTTACTTTGACCAGTTTCACTCAGGCCTCTCCAATCTAAGGGAACTGCCTTGAAGACGGCTAACATTAAGCCCAGAACCTTCATGTAGAACTAAAGCAAACAGAGGGAAGAAACACAAAAATACAAGTGATAGTGTTCAGCTGTCTATTTATGCACCAGGAAAAGTAAGCTCTCTGTGTGATAGTAAATCTTGTGGGAGTTGGATTTTCTTGCTTTCAGTAAGGTGGGAATAACAGAGTCAGAAATGCCCCTATCACTTTAGCAATGCTGTTGAAGCAGAATAGGACTTCTGGTGTCCCCTTTATGGTTTATTTATGCTGAAGAGGTCTGGAGTGAAAGTGTGCAAATGGAACTGTCTTGACGGAGGTTACCATTAAGCCCAAATCCCTTGTGTATGACCGAAATAAATGGAGGGTGCCATTTTTACCTGAGGATCCACATGAGGGACCTTAGGGAAACCATTTTCTCCTGAGGAGACCCTGGCTTGGTCTATGTACAACATTAGATCCAGGTACTTCAGATGGCATGAGGGCTGAAGAGCAGACTTTGGAAAGTTGAGTATCCAGCCAAAGGTTTGAAGAAACTGAAACATGGTTTGCGCAAGATCCTGTGCTACTTTTGCACCCTGTCAGTACGGGTTCCGCCACATTATCTACATTTAGTGCAGAACAAGATTTTAAATTTTATATCAGCCAATAAAAGCTACTCTTTTTACACAATTATCACAAGGCGGGTTAGGGGATCTGAATAATTCTAAATATTACTTAGCTGTCCAGATCTCCCAATTGTCCTTGCTCCATGCTTCCTTTAACATCCCCCTATGGGTATTCCTGGAGCTCCTTAATTGCTCACCTCTCTCATAGCAGGCACTCCTTTGGCTTCCTCATAAACTTCGCCCTGCAACTCTTACGTTCTCTTATGCAACATAGTATGAAAACATGGGATTCTGTCAGATACTCCGGCAACCCCCCGTCTTACCACTTCTACCTATCCTGCGCAATCCTTTTATTTTCTCCAGGCCTAGACCAGCCCCAGGCGTTTTTCTGGTGTGTCTCCCATGGTTTAACACAAGTGCAACACTTTCTGACCACCCTGTTTTTACCAATATGGGCTGCCCTCCGGGAAAGGCCCCTCAGTCAGAGGATTTCCACTATCTCCAGCTCCAACACTGCATACTTTCTCTTCATGGCACCTCTACCTATCCTTTCCAGAAAATGACTTTTGAAAAATTTGCCAACACTACCCCAGATTGCTGGGCCTCATCTCCACCATTTACACGTCTTTGAACCATTCAACATCCCCTTCCCTCTCTTATGTGACTCAGTAGGAGAGAAATTTGGCATCTGAGATAGACCTGGCAGACTGGAGCAAGGCCTGATCTTCTGTAGCAAAATGTTCATTTAACCCTTTCGCTGCCAGAGCATTTTTTTTTTTTTTTTTTTTTTGCACATATGTTAAAAAAATGTCAGGCCTGAAGATTACACAAAACCCCCAAACGTATATTTTCTGAAAGCAGACACCCTAGAGAATAAAATAGTGGTAGTTCCAATTTTATTGTTACACCATATTATTGCACAGGTCTAGGAAATGCAAAATTTCAGTAAAAATCACACTAAAGTGAATTTTAGGGCAAAACAACGCAATGAATTACCCACATTTTTGGTAAAATATAAAAGACAAGGTTGTACCGAGTAAATAGATACCCAACATGCCAAACCTTAAATTTGTGTGCGCCTATGATTTGTGTCAAACTTCAGTACCCTATATTTTCTATAGACAAAATGTGGTCTCTGTTACAAAATATGGACCCTCATACACTGGTTTTTCTTCAGATCAGACAAACCTTTTGCCGTTTACAAAATCGGCGCCCTAAATACTTTTCTCCTGATATACTTGCATAAAAGAAGTTTTGTCTCTGATTCTTGAATAGGGTGAGCGGGAATGGGGGATGTGTAGCACTTCTGGCCTTTGGAAACCAAAGGTTTTTAAAGGAACAATAGTCTTGAAAGGAAATCGGACATAATGATAGACAAGCCACAACATTGTCTGTTAAAATCATTTTGTTTTTTGGGGGTTTCAGGCCTGTGACAGTCATGCACATGTTTAGGAATTCCTAAAACCAGGACCTGTGTGTTGCTCCTTCTCCTTTTATAGCATGTTTTAGCGGTCAGTGGTAGGGGAATGAACACCGGATCAGTATAGATAACAAGCTATTATAGGTGTGGGTAAATGATCAACTAATTTGCATTTTCACCCATTTTTCATTTACAGAACATGCAAGATTTTGGTTGCTCTGTTTAAAACACTGCGAGTCCCATTAAATATGTAACATTTGATGTGTATAGTTGCTCTGAAGTGAAGTGCAGTCTGCTGTTCTCAGTTACAACCTTTTTAGGCTAAGAAAGTTTTTAGCAGAGATGGCTCCAGTGTCCTTATGCAATTACTGAAGTGGAAGCTAACCGTATACAAGAAAATGTCTCCACTTAGAAGCAGACCTACAGGTGAAACTCGAAAAATTAGAATATCCTGCAAAAGTTCATTTATTTCAGTAATGCAGCTTAAAAGGTGAAACTAATACAGTCAGGCCCATAAATATTGGGACATCGACACAATTCTAACATTTTTGGCTCTATACACCACCACAATGGATTTGAAATGAAACAAACACGATGTGCTTTAACTGCAGACTGTCAGCTTTAATTTGAGGGTATTTACATCCAAATCAGGTGAACGGTGTAGGAATTACAACAGTTTGCATATGTGCCTCCCACTTGTTAAGGGACCAAAAGTAATGGGACAGAATAATAATCATAAATCAAACTTTCACTTTTTAATACTTGGTTGCAAATCCTTTGCAGCCAATTACAGCCTGAAGTCTGGAACGCATAGACATCACCAGACGCTGGGTTTCATCCCTGGTGATGCTCTGCCAGGCCGCTACTGCAACTGTCTTCAGTTCCTGCTTGTTCTTGGGGCATTTTCCCTTCAGTTTTGTCTTCAGCAAGTAAAATGCATGCTCAATCGGATTCAGGTCAGGTGATTGACTTGGCCATTGCATAACATTCCACTTCTTTCCCTTAAACTCTTTGGTTGCTTTTGCAGTATGCTTTGGGTCATTGTCCATCTGCACTGTGAAGCGGCGTCCAATGAGTTCTGAAGCATTTGGCTGAATATGAGCAGATAATATTGCCCGAAACACTTCAGAATTCATCCTGCTGCTTTTGCCAGCAGTCACATCATCAATAAATACAAGAGAACCAGTTCCATTGGCAGCCATACAGCCCACACCATGACACTACCACCACCATGCTTCACTGATGAGGTGGTATGCTTAGGATCATGAGCAGTTCCTTTCCTTCTCCATACTTTTCTCTTCCCATCACTCTGGTACAAGTTGATCTTGGTCTCATCTGTCCATAGGATGTTGTTCCAGAACTGTGAAGGCTTTTTTAGATGTCGTTTGGCAAACTCTAATCTGGCCTTCCTGTTTGTGAGGCTCACCAATGGTTTACATCTTGTGGTAAACCCTCTGTATTCACTCTGGTGAAGTCTTCTCTTGATTGTTGACTTTGACACACATACACCTACCTCCTGGAGAGTGTTCTTGATCTGGCCAACTGTTGTGAAGGGTGTTTTCTTCACCAGAGAAAGAATTCTTCGGTCATCCACCACAGTTGTTTTTCGTGGTCTTCTGGGTCTTTTGGTGTTGCTGAGCTTACCGGTGCGTTCCTTCTTTTTAAGAATGTTCCAAACAGTTGTTTTGGCCACACCTAATGTTTTTGCTATCTCTCTGATGGGTTTGTTTTGTTTTTTCAGCCTAATGATGGCTTGCTTCACTGATAGTGACAGCTCTTTGGATCTCATCTTGAGAGTTGACAGCAACAGATTCCAAATGCAAATAGCACACTTTAAATGAACTCTGGACCATTTATCTTCTCATTGTAATTGGGATAATGAGGGAATAACACACACCTGGCCATGGAACAGCTGGGAAGCCAATTGTCCCATTACTTTTGGTCCCTTAACAAGTGGGAGGCACATGCAAACTGTTGTAATTCCTACACCGTTCACCTGATTTGGATGTAAATACCACCTCAAATTAAAGCTGGCAGTCTGCAGTTAAAGCACATCTTGTTCGTTTCATTTCAAATCCATTGTGGTGGTGTATAGAGCCAAAAATGTTAGAATTGTGTAGATGTCCCAATATTTATGGACCTGACTGTATATGAGATAGACTCATTACATGCAAAGCAAGATAGTTCAAGCCGTGATTTGTCATAATTGTTTTGATTCTGGCTTACAGCTCATGAAAACCCCAAATCCACAATCTCAGAAAATTAGAATATTGTGAAAAGGTGCAATATTCTAGGTTCAAAGTGTCCCACTCTAATCAGCTAATTAAGCCATAACACCTGCAAAGGGTTCCTGAGCCTTTAAATGGTCTCTGTCTGGTTCAGTAGGAATCACAATCATGGGAAAGACTGCTGACCTGACAGTTGTGCAGAAAACCATCATTGACACCCTCCATAAAGAGGGAAAGCCTCAAAAGGTAATTGCAAAAGAAGTTGGATGTTCCCAAAGTGCTGTATCAAAGCACAATAATATAAAGTTATGTGGAAGGGAAAAGTGTGGAAGAAAAAGGTGCACAAGCAGCAGGGATGACCGCAGCCTGGAGAGAATTGTCAGGAAAAGGCCATTCAAAATTGTTGGGGACATTCACAAGGAGTAGACTTAGGCTGGAGTCAGTGCATCAAGAGCCACCACACACAGACGGATCCTGGACATGGGCTTCAAATGTCGTATTCCTCTTGTCAAGCAGCTCCTGAACAACAAACTTCAGAAGCGTCTTACCTGGACTAAAGAAAAACAAACCTGGTCTGTTGCTCAGTGGAAACGAACTCTCCTGCGCTCTAAGACCCAAAGGAGATGGATGGATGGATCCAGAACTTGAAACAATTTGACCACCTTTGCATATGGGGTTGTGCAGCTCCAAACAAGGCTGGGGAAGCCCAACCAATACTGTGAAGCAAAGACAAAAAAGAAGCGCACCAACCTTGCGCATTACCTCAGTAAACCAATTTTATTGAATACAAAATATACTCACAAACGAAGTATTTCAAGCATGTCACTTCTCAAAGGAACTATGGAATAGTAAGACCTGTGCTAGTCCCATCATAGGGGTGGACACTCGGGGATCAGCTGACGCGTTTCGCGGGATGTTTCTTCTTCATCAGAGCTCTGATGAAGTCTATCTCATATATTAGTTTCAACTTTTAAGTTGCATTACTGAAATAAATGAACTTTTGCACGATATTCAAATTTTTCGAGTTTCACCTGTATATCTCACTTACCTTCAGATCTGATTCACAACTGTTACAGAGATCTGGAAATTATATGAATTGCTCTTTTCCTCTGATTATGAATCTTTGTTTGTACATTTAATGAGTTTTATCAAGTAAACCTTTTCCTTTTTTCTCTCTTGCAGGAATGTTCTATGAAGGTTCAAGATGGAAAGTTCAAGCTGCAGGATCTGATGGTGATTCCAATGCAGAGAGTACTCAAGTATCATCTCTTGCTTAAGGTGAGTTTCCTCCGACACCAACGCTTCATAATAAAGGGGTTATACAGTATTCTCTCTACTGGCTTTTTCATACTGACCAATCTTATTCCGGCTGTTGTATTCTTCTGTAGCTTTGTATTGTACATTTGAGGTAGCGCTAGACTTTGTTGGAGGTGAGTAGGTCTGTGGCAATTCAACTCATATTGGATCCTCAGAGTGGGCTCATTCAAGCATGTGAAGGTTTGAAAAAGCTACATATACAAGCAGGGGAAAACCAACCAAATTCACGAACGTCTGGGCGATTTGGCTGGATTCAGAATACACTACCTCAGAGTCTATTCTTTATTGAATTATATCCTATTTAAGTTATTCCATATTATTCTTGTTGTCTTCAGGGACCACTTTTTGCAATAAACTATGAACACACAATGTCTTCTCACATTTTGCTTGGATTCTTCCCAATCTTAAAGTTTCTATTACTTGAGTGCCTGGTCTCGGATAAGGGGGCTTGGGGGGAATAAAAGAAGCCTGGAGTGTGCTCCTAAATAAGGGCAAACATCTACACCTAAATTATTTAAAAAAGCCAGTATAAACTTAAAGGGACCTAGTGTAGTTGGGCACTTGATCTGGGTGGAACAATGTGGTAAATTTCCAGATCTAGGGTTCTGTATTTTACCATATATGCAGCAAGGTCAAACACCATAACACTGAAACTGGTATGGCTGCTGTGGTGACTGAAATGCTGGGCCTATCACGGTGGAAAATACTACGTTTTGTGATATGGGAAGACCATACAATTTTTTTTCTACTGGGGCAAATGTTCCAGATTTGGGAACCTGGTATGACTTTGCCAACAGCTGCTTGAAAGGTGAATCTTCAGAACCTCCCCACCAGAATCCCTAGTTCCACCCAACATCTGTGGCTGATACATTGCTGCTGTGGCTGTTATCATTTGATGCATAATGTAGACTGAATAATACAATACAAACTACTGCAGGGAAATCTTACTACTGTGAGGTCGGCAAACTACTGAAGGAGAATCTCACAATTGTGGGAGGTGCAGAGACAAACTATTTCAGAGAAAATTCACCATAGTGGGAGGGATGGTAAGACAAACTACTGCAGAGAAAATACCATAGTGGGAGGGGAGTAGTAAGACAAACTACTGTAGGGAAATCTCACCGCAGAAATACTTGGATTTTATATGTACCTGAAATTAACTGTAATAAAGCTACTGATTCTCTTGTTATCCATACACAGGAACTTCTCAGTCACACGTCAGACTGTCCAGAGAGACAGATACTAAGAGAGGCTCTAGAAGCCATGCAGGTAAAGTATGTTGTTAAAATTAAATTTCAGAATTGTGTGTCGTTGCTGACATCACAGGTGCCCCATCATAGAAAAACTCTGTGATTCACAATGGCAGCCATTCCTAAGATGGTTTTGGAGTCCGTGATGCAGGTGAAAAATGAAGACCGTTTTTTTTTTTAACAAGTCGGTACAAATATTATGTTAGGCCGGTGGCTCTGAGTGGGGATTCTCCACTATTCAGACCTCATCAATTAGCAGATTGAACAATCCATGACATAGCTGTGTTCTCTCTGTTCAAACCTTGATCACAGCGCCCAGCAGATGAACCTCTCCCATCATCGACTCCAAAGGTCTGCAAATGAAAATAATGCAAAACTGAGAAATGTGTTTAAAAAAATGAAGGTATTATTTGGGATGATGCCATGGTATTTTATTTAGGTGAGTCCATATAATTTTAATAGCACAACAATCATCTTGTTCAACTCATAGAATGCTTCATTTACAGTCCATGCCTTCAATTCACCTCTTTGAGCATCGATATTTAAAAAGCTAAGTTATAATAAACCATGTTCTCTAAGACACCACCCAAACCTTCTTTCCAGAGTGATGCTCTATATTAGTTTTTTTTTTCCTTTTGCTTTTTTTTTAATCTGTTTTTTAAATAATTTTGTGAATAAAAAGAACATACAGATTTCAAGTGGGCTACCCACACAAGGGATAACACTTGTGTTAAAAACCAAATTGGGGATTGACCATTACAAAAAACCAATGGTTGGCTCACATACAAGTCCACATCCGTACAGGACAGGCTCCAGTTTGTTTCCTCATTGACAAGGTGATGAAATAGGTGGAAGAGGGTGAAGTGGCATTGGGGCTGGGGCGTTAGGTGTTCATATCCGCTGCTGTGTAGGGTTCTTCCAACCAGCAAGCCCACATATTGCAATTTTTTTTTCCTTATACCCCTGTTTTTGTTTGTCTTGATATAAGGGGAGATTAAAGTTGACTAAATGCTTCCAAAAGGTGATAGAATGGGCAGTTGCTTTCTTTTAATGCATTGTAATAGGTTTTTTGGCATAATAGAGTAAGAGGCCCAATAGTAATCTCTTAGCAACCGTGGGGGCCATGGGTTCAGGTAGGCATATCTTTGAATACAAGGTGAGATGAGATAAAGCCACTTTAATGATAACATCTGCCCAGAACTGAGAGATTAGGGGTCAGGTCCAGGAGACATGGAAAAAGTTCCCTTCAGTTTAATGGCAGAGCTGGATTCAACTTATGTACCCTGTGGGGAGTGAAGTATGCCCTATGGAGGATTTTTAATTGAATCAGCCTGTCCCTAGCAGAGACTTGCTTAAATAGCAGGTCTCAGATGTTGGAGCAGTCCTCATTGTCAATGTCCAGTATATCACTTAGCCATTTGTTCCAGAGGCCAGAGATGTCTGGCAGGGTAGTAAAAATGAGGTGCTGATAAAGTGAGGAGGCAGGTTTCAATAGGTAACACATCTTCCAAAGGAGAACAGTTTAGCGATTGGTTCTGATGAGAGAAATGCCTGCAGAAGGCATGGCAGAGCTGCAAAAGCTTGAATGGTTAAATTTGGATTGGGGAGCAACAAAAGGCAGCAGTGTTCCGGTGGTCATGATGTATCCTAGGGTTTTGATCTTGTATTTGGCCCAGTTGTGGGGGTCTGAAAACATATAAAAAATGAGCTAGGGTGGAATTATTCTACAGTGGGGTGAAGGGGGAGAGGGTAAAAGGGGGCTGCGAATCCCATTTTTTCTCTCATCGACCAAGCTTTAAGGGTGGTCTTCATGAGGGGGCCTTGGCAACTCTTAATAGGAGGTGCTGTAAAGCCTCCAAGGAATGTAAGATGTCTGCATCTAGCATGACCAAAGGGTTGCTCAGGTTTGGCACCAACCAGCAGCGGGTAGTTACAAGCTGGGTGGCAACATAATGTTTGTGAAAATCTGCCATGGCTAAGCCACTCTGTGAGGTTGGTCTGATGAGTATAATGAGTTTATAGGGTGGTCACTGAGGCTTTCATAGGAAAGAGAATAAAATTTGGGTGGGTTGTTTGAAGAAAGATTTAGGAAGTGGTGAATTGCAAAAAAGGTGAATTTGGGAAGGATCTCCATTTTTTTCAAATAATTGTGACCAATTAAGGATAAGGGCAGGTTCACCCATGCCTTCAGTTGATTTTTAAGCTCAGTAAGTACAGGGGTCAGGTTTAGTTCTACATGATTTGACATCACAAGAAATCACCGCAGCTGCAAATCCTTGGACGCCAGGGTATAAGCTACTGGATCAGTTGGAAAGAAGAGGGAGTTTTTCAGTTGACTCTCAAGGACAGGGTGGCATTGAAACCCCCGGGAAAACAGTCTTAGCTGGGCAATACAAGCTGGCTTTGTCTAACAGCATATACAGAAGGCCTGAGCTGAAGGGTGGTGGCAGATAATTATTAATCTGGATATTTCTGCAATTGCAGATGTTCAACACCAAAAGTACATACTGACCATTGGGGCCCGTGTGGACCTCCTGCATTGCCTGCATCAAGGAATCTAATGAATGTGTAGATACACACCTCAAATAGGAGTGGGTGTCATGAAATGTATTTTGTACCCATGGCTGCTTCAGCAATAAGACCTTGCTACCCATTAGGTGGGTGTCTTGCAGAAAGAGAATATGCAGGTTATAGGATTTGATGTATTAGAGTAAAAGGGCCCCTTGTGAATTTGAAATTCAGGCCTTTAGTATTCCAGGACATCAACCTAGGAAATTCCAGGTCTCAACCCGCCATATCACCATAGCATGCCATAAACACAGGAGGCAGAGACATGAGGAATATAAATAACATCACCAGAGCATTGCAGTGTGCACATGAGTCAATAAAGTGTTGTCAGCCCATTACAGAAAAAAAAGTTTAACTGCTTACTGTACTCCCTGCCTTACGGAAAAAGAGAACAACAAAAGTAGCAAGGGACATATAAACAAAAACAGAATGAGAGAGTCTATAACTGGCTTCCACAAATTTCAGTCTATTGTGGGGGAGTGTTCATAGAAAAACACTGGTCCTTGCAGTTAGTGAAACTGAAGCAACCTCCGGGAAGGAATGTGTCGTTTGCTCAGAGGTCTGTGCCATTCACCTATTATCTAGCCAAGTAGACACAGCAACCAGGGAATCAAAAATCCTTGTACTGCCTACATCGACAATGCTGAGACGGCTGGGATAGAGAGGACTGTAGTGGATCTCCTTATTCCACAGACCTTTGCAAACGTCTGTGAAGGATATCCGACATTGCTGTACTTCTGGAGAATAGTCGGTAATAAAGAAATTTTGGAGTTCTCATAGGTCAAATCCGCCCGGGATCAGACAGCTGCCAAAATCAGATCACGATAGTTCAGCAGGCGGATGCGTAAGGGATGCAGTGGAGCCCCAGGAATCAAAGGAGTCGTGCACACTGTGTGCTCTTTTGACCACGTATGTTGAGTTGCAGAACCTTCAGTCCCAGTAAGGTGGTGAGGAAGGATTCTGCAAAGTCAGCTGGCCTGGGGCACTCCACATGCTCCGGCAGTCCCAGCACACAGATGTTGTTGCGGTGGAGCTGGTTCTACATGTACACCAATTTTCACTTGGTTTATACATTGCACTGTAGGGCATGCAGATCTGTAGAGTCTGACCACCACTTCCTCTATGTGGGAGAGTCAGTCCTTGACGTCACAGAGGTGCATTCTAAACTTGTCAAGGTTTTTACGTATATAGCTGATGTCAGGGTTTCCCTGCAGGTAGTGATAGCTGCTAGGATGTTGGCACCAAAAGGATCGTTCAACTCACTGCCCTCCATGGTGGTCTGTGAGGCTGTGGACTTGCAGTGACATAGCAGAAGAGATCCCAAGATGGCCACCACAGGAGAGGAGCAGGATGGAGCCGCTGGTGTGTGGGCAGGCTTGAACTTGCTGGGAGACATCTCTGACACTCCAGCAGCGGACAGCAGGTATATTAGAGCTATGAGCTAGCAGAAAGGTACCATATAATGGGAGCAGTACAGCACAGGAGAAGTATAGGAGCAGAGCTTGGACACAAATTATCCCCTTGGCGTTCCATCTCAGCCACGCCCCTTGCTCCATCTTTGTTTTAAAAAGCAGTTGATGTTTGTGTAACACCTGACACCAGGATTAAAAATCAGGATTTCATATAACATGTTATAACATATCATGCTCCTACCCAAATTGAATTTAGTGACGAGTATTATATAAAGCGACCTTCATGTACCAACAAAGCCTCTCAGTTATCCCATTATTAGCTCCCTCTGAGCAGATAATAAGTTTTCATTAAACTGACCCAGCAATTAGCAATTCTTTCATATTTATAGACATTTTATTGTTTTTTTTTTCTTTTTAAAATAAAATGGAATGTATGGGGGGGTTGGGTTTTTTGGGGTTTTTTTTAACTTTCGTTGAAGTGAACTCCCCGTAAGATTCACATTTCCTATGAATGAATAGGGGAAATGTCATTGTTACTAAATCACAATATTATTTTGAGCAAAAAAAAAAAGAAGCTCCTTACTATGAATGAAAAATGCCTTACTTCATGCAATCTAGGAAGCCTAGATCTCATGGTCTCAGGGACATTGTGGTTGTTTCACTTCATTAGAGACTGTGGAGAATAAATTGTTTGATATTAGATTAAGCCTGTCATGTAGACTTGTAGTGAAATATGTGAGTTTAACAAGGCACAAGCAGAAAGCTTATATATGCAAGGAGCAAATATTGCTATCTCTGTGTATTTATGTATCTATTTTCAGCAGCTGGAGGGTGCCCAGAAGACATGAACTAAAGAGATTGTGTGATCTCTCATAAGCTGCCGCCATCAGCTGCCATGTTGTTTTTTGGCAATACAAAGAGCCACAATATTTGTTTTACCGAAGAGATGTGCCAGAGATTTAATCCTTTGAGCTGGTAGTGGATTCCCCCAATCCGTATACATAATGACACCTAAAATTAGGAAAAGAACTCCCACTTATATCGTTTGAGGGAAAAAAAAAAACACCCAGTAAAAAAAACCTAATCTAACAAGGGAAAAAGTTAAATTGTTCTGTGTTTTTGTCAGTTTGGATCTGGACTGGATATGGATCTGGATCCTCTGTGGTGCTGGAAGATCTGGGGTGGGGGTTGTGAGGAAGGGTGGGGCACTCAGTACCTTCCTGAACAGTGGAGTGTGTCAGCAAGAGGGCAGGCCCTAGCCAAGATCGTCCATTGTCCTTTTCCAGAGCTATATAGGCTTCTGCTGTGAATACAGATAAGCATTTTATTAGTCTTGTTGTGTTTTCCATGATGTTTGTTTTTTTCATCTTCATGAAGTTGTTGTTTTTTTTTTGTTTTTTTTTTAGGATCTAGCAATGTATATTAATGAAGTCAAAAGGGACAACGAGACCCTGAAGAAGATCAGCGAGTTTCAGAACTCCATAGAAAACCTGGTGAGTGCTATTGGGCTCTGTGCACACAAACATTGCCAAGTTCTCCCTGGAAAGACTGTACTGCACCCAATATCTAACGGACAATATTTATTGTACTTGTATTATAGCATCTGGTCGTGTTTTTTACTACTAATCTCATTGATTTATATGGCTTCCTTGGTGCATTCCCCTATCTGTCTCACAACAAGCAGGGACACCTGGAGGAAGTCACGTGCCAGATGTGACTTCCTTTGCATCAACTTGTGATTGTATGAGTATGTTGACTCTGTATATGTTAACATAATCTGGACCATTATGGCTCTGTTTCTACTGCTGGTATAAGGGTGTAGTTGCTGCAGTTTGGCACCTTCTAAAACCCCATCTGCCAGCTCAAATAGTATAAGCTTGATGGTCAATACACACATCTGCATCCATCGAGCGTCTCATGCTTTTGCAGTGACCAGCATGTTGTTGTATGTGGTCACACTAAATTGTTTGATCTGATTTGATGTGACACTTTTTTTTTTTTTTTTTTTAATTCCAACAGCAAGTAAAACTGGAAGAGTTTGGAAGACCAAAGATAGATGGAGAACTGAAGGTCCGATCAATGGTCAACCAGGCGAAGCAGGACAGGTGAGGTCAGATGGTTGTGAAGATGTGGGGCCCCAGAGGAAAGGCTCTAGCAGTTTCTTGCTTTTTATACATTTTGTGAGCCCCAGCCTGCTATTATGCAAATGGTATTATGGCATTCTATATGCTTTTTGTGTAGAGGTGTGCAAGTTAGAAAAATAAAAGAAACTGAACAACTGATGGGCACCAGGGGTAGATACTTACAAGTGGGCAACAGCTCAGAGTGGGCATCACCAGTATAATGTTTCCATGAGTAGGCTGTTGCTGGCTGTGGGTAGAGTCTGCAGAAATGCAGTGTTTAAAAAATGCTGTTAACCTCCAGACAGCACAGAAAGGGGTCGGAGGATCACATGAGCTTTATTTTGTCTTTTTGTCTGGTAAAATGGTGTTTCATCTGTGTATGTAGCAATTTTTAAAAAGCTGCCCTTTATTGTTCATGAACTGCTGGCTGTCAGTTACCACCTTTTCTTCCCATCAGGTATTTGTTCCTGTTTGATAAAGTTGTCATTGTGTGTAAGCGAAACGGGAACAACTATGAGCTGAAAGAAATCATTGAACTGCTGTCCCATAAAATGACAGATGACCCCATGAACAACAAAGACATTAAGAAGGTAATTAATCTGGGATGGGGTTTTACATAATCACATTCTCAGATGCGAGGCTACAGGAGCATTTCATATTTTCTGATGTTCTTATTGCTGAAATATAGAGCTCTTCAATGCTGCCCACATCTCTCTCTATGCCAGCCTTGGATTATGTGTTTTTTGCTTCCTGGATTGTTGAAGGTCTTAAAACATTAGACACATTTCCTCTGTTGAACATCAGAAGGTGGAAGTGTTTGGTGCTTGTATGATTACATTGTAGTGCCTAATGATATACTGTAAGTGCCCGTTTCTGCACAAGAACAACCCAGGTTGCTACTAGGGCACATAGAAATGAAGTCAGTAGCTCCATATCATAGAAAAAGTATAAAACTTTTTAATAAAAACTAGCCATGTTTCATGCTTCTACTTGTGAATGAACACAATGTTAAATGTTTTTTTTTTCCTGGTCTCTTTATGCACCCCCAAGTCACATGGGAAGATGGTAAGATGGTGTCATTGCTTTCTCTGGAATGAACAATAAATACTGTTCTGTATTTGATAGCACAGGATCCCAGTCAATGTCAGTTCAGACAGTCAATGTCAGTTCAGAGCATTTCTGGCATCAGTCTAATTTCCTTTTAAAAATAGAAAATCTTGTTCCAAAGATTGAACAATGCTGAAGCTTTCTAGAGACACAGTTTTATATGTAATATTCATTGTTCTTAGAAAGGACCTAATTTGTATTTATAACGCCTTCAAATGATTTTATTTATTTACCAGAAAGATGGTGCCATCATTGTTCGGCACCATCCAGGGTCAGAATCTGCTACTTTGCCTGAAATGACTCACTTATGTAAATGTTGGCGTCTACTGCACTTCTTGGTTAAGTTGACAAAAGTCTGACATGGATCAGACCCTCTCCTTTTTTACTTGTTTCAAAGTTATCATATACATTCTGCGTGGATATTGGGAGAGGAGATTGAGGAAATGCTCTCTGTTTGTAGCACACTAGTGACATAGTCCTAGCATAGGTCACTGAACTGGTGATCAAGGACTGCTTTATATTGGTAAAAGGTGGAGCTTTTTTGAAAAATGATACTGTTGCTGTTTGTAAGTGTGCATAAATAAATTCTTTACATGATCTAGTTCCCAAAGTACCTTATTAGCAGTTATTGCAGTAAATATCCCAGGATGTCTAAGTATCTTTGTTTCAGACCATGTTTTCTAGTGTCTTCTGTCTGTTTAGTTCAGATAGATGTAAGTCCATCTCTGCTCCCTCTCTGCAGTGGTCATACGGCTTCTTCTTGGTACACCTACAAGGGAAGCAGGGCTTCCAGTTCTTCTGCAAGACAGATGACATGAAGAGGAAGTGGATGGAGCAGTTCGAAATGGCAATGTAAAAGATTTTTTTTAATTTAAACTTCACCATTGTTAGTGATCATTTTCTTTTTCGCACACCTCAGTCCTAGTCTGTTTATCTCTGTGCTTATATGTTCCCAACATCAGGAGATTACAGAGTACATTCCTACACTGCAGTTTTGCAAAGGGCAAAGAGCACATTGCTGCTTCTCTTAGATTAGTGTTAGCTGGCCATACAATATTTTACTCTGAGTCCCACAGGTTGAGGGAGCAAATCTCTATTCCCCTATTCACTCTGAACAGCATGGATGGAGTAATATTCCCTGCTGGGTATTGTAACCTGAGCAGACTGTTGACACCTGCAGCTCCTAGAATAGCTGAATAGTGACCGAATTTGAATGGATGCAGCTGCTGGTTAGCTGATATCTTTCTGCCCAACGGGATGATGGCCGGGAGAGTGCTGATAGGGCCACCCATGGTTTGAGTTTTGATGTGGTTAATCAGGAACCAATGGAAATCTGTTCCATGAATGGTCAGCATTAGTTTAATGTCTGCACTTTATAAGTAAACTTCCAGTGACAGCAGTGTGCTCTTCTGGTGTTTAACCACCTTCCGCCCGCCCTATAGTACAATGACAGGCGCAAGGTGGTTCTCTCGTTCTGATAGGACGTCATATGACGTCCTACCATTCTCACTGCGCATACGCGGCTCAGGGAGCACGCAGCACGGCGATCGCCGGTGCGCTGTGTCCCTCGGACACAGCGGATCACGGAAAGAGCCGAAGATGTCGGCTCAGTCATGTGACCAGCTGTGTCCAATCACAGCTGATCACATGTAAACACGGAAATGCCGGTTATCTGCATTTCTCTCCTCTTGAGCTGTCACCATGACAGCTCGAGAGGAGAGCCGGTAATCGGCTTTCTGCGGAGGGGACATGTACACTGATCATCAGGGCCTCAGAAGTGCCACCTGTCAGTGCCCATCAGTGCCACATCAATGCCACATAGTGCATACCAGTGCACATCAATGCCACAACTCAGTGCCCATCTGAGCTGCCTTTCAATGTCACCCATCAGTGTCACCTATCAATGCCAGTCAGTGCCTGTCAGTGTCGCCTGTCAGTGCCATATGTCAGTGTCATGTATCAGTGCTGCCTTTCAGTGCCCATCAGTGATGCCTTTCAGTGCCCATCAGTGCAACCTACCAGTGCCTCCTCATCATGTCCATCAGTGCCACCTATCGGTGTCCATCAGTGCAGCCTATCAGTGCCCATCACTGCAGCCTCATTAGCGCACATCAGTGAAGGAGAAAAATCACTTATTTACAAAATTGTATAACAAAAACTAAGAAAAAACTTTTTTTTTTTTCAAAATTTTCTGTGGTTTTTGGTTTGTTTAAGAAAAAATAAAAATCCCAGAGGTGATTAAATACCACCAAAAGAAAGCTCTATCTGTCTAAAAAAAAAAATGATAAAAATATCATATGGGTACAGTGTTGCATGACCGTGCAATTGTCATTCAAAGTGTGACAGTGCTGAAAGCTGGAAATTGGCCTGGGCAGGAAGGGGGTATAAGTGCCCTGTAGGCTAGTGGTTAATATTATGTGGTTGGGCAGTGTTGCTTTTCTGTTTATGCAATAAAATCATAAAACTGTGAATAAGTTAGATACTATGCATGAAGGTAAAAGGACCTCCTGTGTGCTGTTACCCCCACAGCCTCCCCAATGCTAACTTGAGCCCCCTCTCGATCCAGCAATGAGCACGGCAGGCTTGGTTGTCCTGGGTCTCTCACTCCTCATAGGCTGAGACACAGCAGCAGGAGTTATTGGCTCCCACAGCTGTCATTCACAGCCAATGAGGAGAGAGCGGGCCGTGGCCAAGCCAAGCTCTCAGTTTCTTATGGCCACATAGAGTGGGGCTCGGGAGCGAGCACGCACCAGTGCCCCCCATAGCAAGTGGCTTGCTATGGGGGGCACTGGTCAAGGGGGAGGAGCCAGGAGCACCAGCAGGGGACCCAAAAAGAAGAGTGGGCTGCTCTGTGCAAAACCATTGCACAGAGCAGGTAAGTATGACATGTTTGTTGTTTGTTTTTTTTTTCAACAAACCTTTAATATCACTTTAATATTAGCTTCCTGCCGCTGATACTGTCCAGATTGTGATGAAGATGGACTTGGATATGGAATCTTCTTTTACACAAACTGTCTTTATTTTTATTTTTTTTTACATGCAATAATATGACACAAAAGTTTCCTAAAGTTTCAGGGTGGTTGTCCCCGGAGGCGAAGCTAGACATTCTTTCAACTGGGGCAAAGTTCGGCACCCCATCCCCCCTTAGTACCAGAACAAGTTCATTCAGTATCCAGGGCAAACTGGCAAAAATACTAAACAGGCCCCTGATGTTTGATTTTGGAGACACAGAAAGGGACTGAGGACAGATTCCCCACTCCCTTTCTCTGCAGCCTCAGCTGCACTGGGCAGTGAATGATTGAGAAGTGCTCAGTGCTGAGTGGCTTCCAATTCATTCACAAACTTTCAGAAAAGGAAAATCTGCAAATTTCCTATTTACCGGCCTTTTCACCTGCTCTCAAGTGAAGAATTAAACTACTACAGGGAGACAATTACCATACTGTATGCCAACTTGCAAAATTTGTGCATGGTCCTGGTGGTCATCAAAATAATCAACTCAACTACAAAACTACAAATCAAGGCATAGTGACACCCTGAACTAAATCTGCCACCATCTATGGACTCCCGTAGCATGTGCACCGTTAATAAGGGCGTACAATATCTTAGTATCAAAGATTTGTGACAAAATCTAATTCCATGATGGAGAGTGGGGGGGGGGGGGTTGGGGGGAGACCAGGAGAGCGAATACCGAGCAGGGTTCTGCTTCAACTATTTTGTGGCTGTCTTGGGTCATGTCAGTGGAGCTGTGATTGGTCTTTCCTTTTCTTTAAAGAGGACCATTTAAAGAGGAGACTGTAGTCATATTTAAGCATGAACTATCAAGTCCGTGGTGACTGGCCTCATACTAGTGCCACAGTGATGCCACTGGTTTCCTATAATCTGATTATAAGAAATATAATAGGCAGAATTCCTTCTCTGATTGGCTATTTTTTTGTTTTGTCAGGTCAAACATCAAGCCAGAGAAAGCCAACGCCAACCACCACAACTTTCAGATGTTTACCTTTGACAAGACAACTAGCTGTAAGGCCTGTAAGATGTTCCTGAGGTGGGTGGTGCAGTAGGCTTTGCAGCCTGTGACAATTAGGAAGGATTTACTGACTTGACAATTTGTGATTCCCTGTAGACTGAACAAATGTTTATATTCAGGAAAATCCTTAATGGGGTTAAACTGCATTTTTTTTTTTTTTTATATGACCGAGGGTAAAACAAACCTTAATGCCCATGTCAAACTACTTATTGTATACAGGTGGACTATACATTGTTTTTTCAGGACAAATTGGGCATTCATTTGGTGTAAAAGGTAACCGATAGTTGTGTTCAAAATAATAGCAGTGGTTGAAAAAAGTGAATAAAGCTCAAAATGCTTCTAATCAGCCCAGGATGATTGGACTACATTCCACAGTTCTCTATTTCTTGGTTTTGCCTCAGAAACTGCATTTGTGATGTCACCCCACAAGTTTTCTATTGGATTAAGATCCGGGGATTGGGCTGGCCACTCCATAGCGTCAATCTTGTTGGTCTGGAACCAAGATGTTGCACGTTTACTGGTGTGTTTGGGGTCGTTGTCTTGTTGGAACACCCATTTCAAGGGCATTTCCTCTTCAGCATAAGGCAGCATGACCTCTTCAAGTATTCTGATGTATTCAAACTGATCCATGATCCCTGGTATGCGATAAATAGACCCAACACCGTAGTATGAGAAACATCCCCATATCATGATGCTTGCGCAACCATGCTTCACTTTCTTCACAGTGTACTGTGGCTTGAATTCAGTGTTTGGGGGTCGTCTCATAAACTGTCTCCGGCCACTAGACCCAAAAAGAACAATCTTACTTTCATCAGTCCACAAAATATTGCGCCATTTCTCTTTAGGACAGTCAATGTGCTCTTTGGCAAATTGTAACTTTTTCAACAGTGGGACTTTGCGGGGGCTTCTTGCAGATAGCTTGGCTTCACATAGGTGTCTTCTAATTGTAACAGTACTCACAGGTAACTTTAGACCTTCTTTGATCTTCCTGGAGCTGATTGTTGGCTGAGTCCTTGCCATTTTGGCTATTCTTCCATCCATTCGAATGGTAGCTTTTTCGCTTTTTTCCATGTCTTTCAGGTTTTGGTTGACATTTTAAAGCATTTGCAATCATTTTAGCTGAGCATATGTTTTTTCCCCTCTCCAATCAACTTTTTCAACTTGATCAACGGTCGTAAAGGTGGTGGGGTTGGCCTGCTCCTGTCACCGCTGGGCACCTTCCGAGTCCTCCCAAACCCCCCCTCCCTATCCTTCTCCTCCTTCGAGGCCCACTGCGCCTGACTATTCTCCCCAACCCCCCTGAAGATTGCTGTGATATACCGGCCTCCTGGATCCATACCCCGCTTCCTGGAAGACTTCTCCTCCTGGCTACCCTTCTTCCTCTCCTCTGAGCTACCCACTATCATCCTTGGGGATTTCAACATCCCTGTCAACCTCGACAACCCGGACACAGCCCGTCTCCTCCACTTAACCTCCTCCTTTGCACTTGCACAGTGCATACAATCCACCACCCACTCCGACGGTAATATCCTTGATCTTGTCTTCTCCAACCGCTGCGCTCCCCACAACCTCACTAACACCCCTTCCCTCTCTCTGACCACAACCTGATTACCTTCTCTATCTCCTCATCCTCCAACGCCTACCCCTCCAAATGTCACACTTCTACCAGCCGTAACCTCCGCAACCTTAACCCTGCCTCCCTCCATTCCGCAGCTGATCAACTCCATGACCGCATCCTCCCCCTGTCCTGCCCCGACTTGGCTATGACTGCCTACAACAATGCGCTGTCAACAGCCCTTGACTCACAAACCAAATCCAACAAGCCTTCACCCGATACAAATCTGCCTTCCACACCTACACCTCCTCCCTCCATACTGCCAAACAAGCCTACTTTCTGACCCTCATCAAGGCCCTCTCCTCCAATCCTCGCCGAGTCTCTTCTCCACCTTCAACTCTCTACTCTCGCCACCCCCACCTCCACCCAGCACCTCACTCACTGCCCTTGAGATTGCCAATCACTTCAAAAACAAAATTGACACAATTCGCAAGGACATTGCCGCAACTCACACGCCTTCTCAACCCGTCCCCTCTCACACAGCTACCCCCTCATCCCCCCCTCCCCCTCGACATAACCCACAGGGACTTCGTCGCTTCCCAATGCTGAAGCGCAGATATTATTGTTTGTTCTTTGCCAACACACACACACACACACTGGCCCGAGGCTCACTATGCGCTCCTGCACTCTCGTTCTCACCCTCAACACGTCTGTCTCAATCCGCACGAGCAAGTCTCACTTACATACTCAGAGACAGCATATTCTATTTATCCATTCCCAGTACACATCCGCGTCATGAATCCGTCTGAGCCCGTCATGACGCCTACTCACCAATCGAGGACAAGTCTCCTACATGCAGCCTTTATTCTACAATACGAATTAGAGCTATGCACACCACAGGAATCATCATCAGCCTCTAGATCAGCTCTAAAGGAGCACTCGTCTAACATTGCACCGGTGGCGGAGGCGTAAGGTCGCGCGTGATCGGGCCACGCTACACGCTCATATGCCCGACAACGTTTTGGGGAAAGAGTGTGAAAGTGCATTTGGTAGGCATAGAATAGAACTATCACCATCACTCAATTAGGCCGTAGCGCCCTCCATCCTTAACGCTCTGCTCTAAGGGAAATTCGAGGATAGCAAAAAATATCTCACTTGCGGACTTCACCCTTCTACATCTTCGACCTTGGTCCTCCCGGAGCACTTGACTACCCTTCTCCCTCTGAAACATTGCACACATCATCCCCTTTACTTAAAAAAGAGCCCTCTCCCTGGACCCGCTACGCATCTGACCCAAAACAACCGTTAAGACTACCATCATTCTGTCTCTCAACCACGGCCACATTAACACATACTTAGTCTACGGGGGGGGGAGGGGGCGCGGTGGGGCATGCAAAAGGCAGCTCACACAAGTACTAGTTCTTAATTCTATCCAACAGCTCGAGCGTAGCGTGCCTAACACTCAACGCAGCTCAGACGCTCTCACACCCATCCCCCTCATCTTACCACCTCCCCTTACGACAGACCCCATGACCCTCCACCGCAGAGACGTTCCCCGTCTCACACCCCCCCGTCCCCCCACACTCCACACCCGCCCTCAAACTGCCGTACCCATGACTACCAAGTACTCTACACCAATCTCACCCCCCCTTTCACACACACCCTACACGGCACCCCAACATAACCCATCCCACTCGCCTCGAGCATAACAGATCCCCTTCCCCAGTCGCCTATGCACATACTCATTTACCGTCCCATACCTCGTACCCATTGACGTGCCCACCCAGGTCTGACCCGCCTTTGAAACACTACTGCTACCCCCCTCGCACTTACCCCCACCCCTCATCCTACCATCACCCGTCCCCCGCGCCACCTCCTCCCCAACCCGCCTCGAGCCACAACTCACAGAATTCTGCTCTCTTCCTGCTTCTCATCCCACGATAGTGATCTGTGCCCTGACCCAAACTACAGCTCTCACACTCTTATCCACTTTGTACGGCCTAGACCCCTACGCATGCGGATTGTACCTCCCCCACGCCGCCCCACCAGTCCCGCTCCCTCGAGACCCCCGCCCCCCTCCCCTCCCCCCGACTCACCCACAGTCCAGTGCTGAGGTCAACGTCCCTTCACCCCTCCACACTCATAGACTCTGTACACATGCAAAGAGAAAAACTTAGACGCGCCCCTCCACATTCTTCCACTCTCCCCGCCCATCACCCACACCTCCTCACTCGTTCACGAGGCCCCTACATCATACACTCATCATACCTGAGCATGTCAACTACTCCAGACCTACATTCTATGACCGAAATATACGACACATAACCCACAACCCCTCAACAACATAAACCCCCGGCCAAACCCCCGACCCCCCTGTTTAGCTACCAACCCCCTCCCCCACACTGCCCCTATTCCAGCGAGTGGCTCACCGCCCCGTCAACACCACTTCACATGCACCTACCTCGTTCCCCCCCTGACTCATATGTCCCACCCCAAGCCACCACCTCGCCAACTCAGACACTGTCGCCCCCAACCTTACCGTCCAATTTCCCATCACCTAGCACCCTCTCACAAACCCCAACCCCGTAGTTCCCCACCACACCTCTCGAATCGGCCCCCCTCCCCCATCACCTCACGGTACATTGCCCTCCTCGTATACCTTGTCACGCGCTACCAGCGCGGATCACGCCCCTCGCCATGCCCCCCCCACTCTCACACTCAGAGGCATGATCCAACGCAACTTGCCAGACTCCGTACTCCCCAAGGAAGTACCGCCGCTCTCATAACAGCACCCCCGCCTCAGAACTACTGTCCCTCCCGCCATCATTTCCACTGTGTGCCTAGATCTCACATACCTATCGTCTTAACTCCCTTCTGCAGCGCTCCCACCTCAAGTCTCACTCTGTTGGATACAAAACTCCGTTGAGCTGACGAGGAGCGATCTTCCACACCACTCCCTGCCCCGGCCCCCCCCCGCGAACCCCCCCTAACATCGCCCCACCACCCACACGTCCTCCGTCGACGCAGCGTAATCCATGTAACTCCCAGAATACCATGAAACTATCTACTCCCGACATACACCGCCTCACCTCCCACTCGAGCCACCACCCCCCCCCCCCCCCCATGGTCATTCCCAGACCCCCATCCCGACGGACATGCCTGCAAGCACCTCCTGACCTCTCCCCTCACGCATCCATGGGCCCCCGACCTACACGCCGGCTGGGCTACAGCTCCCACCGTCCCCTCCGCCAGTCGCCACGCATACTCCGCTCCTCACAAGACCTCCTTCTCTCTAGTTCCCTGGTCTCCTCCTCCCATGCCCGCCTCCAGGACTTCTCCAGGGTGTCACCCATCCTTTGGAAACTCCCTGCCCCAACCCATCAGATTATCACCTACTCTCCTCTCCTTTAGGCGCACCTGAAAACCCCATCTCTTCAGGGAAGCCTACCCCGCCCCCTGCTAA